ATTAAGTTGGCTGCAGTTAGTTAAACCACCTTATCAATTGATGTGTCCCCCGCGTAGCATAGCTGCGCTACACCGGTTGCATGTTGGATGAATAATTAAGGTAGACGTGGAAATAGTCCACTGCAACCTAACCCAACAACCCTAAAAAAGTTTTTTTTCAACTTACTGACTTTATAGGGTTATTGTTTTCTTAATAATAGAACGCAGCCAAAGCTGTTTTCGGCGTTGGATATTCAATCAAGTTGTCCCAGTGCTATTGAAACCATCTGCCGCTTACACCATTTTAATAGGTTCGACGCTGATTATGCTGAGGAATTAAATGTTCCAAACTAAGCAGTCTTTTCGTGTAAAAAGTCAATTTTAGAACAGACGTCGTAACCTTAAAACATTTCCTCACTTGTTACATGATTGCGAATTACCTGACTTTTAGAACATTTTAAAAATATTGGACATACTTGGCTGCATTCCAATGAAAGGTAGTTTGTAAAATAAATAGGACATACAGTAGATTCTGAACGGTAGTTGGCGAACATACGTAAGCTCTCCATAAATTCTCATCGGGCCAGTACATTTATATGGGAACGAGGTAAGACTTAAAACGTGTTCGTCTTTTCGTACATGTGAATCTTGGGAATAGGGGGGGGGAGTTGAGGTCGATGAACAAAGGCTGGCTACGCAGGGGTGAGGGTTCGGTGGAGTTGATCCAGGGGGAGGGGGCATAGAAAAAGAGCGACTGCTGGCTATGCCAGGCACGGAGTTTGCAGGGGGTTATTTTGTGCATACAAGACCGGCTTCCTCAACTTGATAGCCGTCGCTTCTGCTCTTGCCAACAGGCGCTGACCCAGGGTCTAGGGGTAGTTTTGTTGGACCTTATTAATCACTCAGAAGGCTTCGCCAGGGTCTACAAGATGTCCGGAATCAACAATGTGGGCGAAAATAGCGCTCTGTGTGTTAATGGCTTCACCCTTTTCAGCCACGTCGGGCGGTGTTCTCGTATTCTTTTGGATAAGCGCCGACTCATGCGACCAATATAACCTGCTCCACAGGGGCAAGTAAACCAGTTTATGCACTTGGAAAAGGGCTCGGTTGGCAACCTATACTTACCTTCCTTGTTCAAGACCGGCTTTGTTGAGTATACTATCCCCCCAGTTTGGCCAAGACGTCTCCTTAGGAGTTCATTTTTCGCATCTTCTTAAAAGAAGATGTTAAGGAATAGTGTCCTTATTTCAACAGTGAATGTGAGGTGTTTTGTGTGTCTCGCCATCATGTTATTTGTGCTGAATCCTTCAGAATACCCGTTCTGACAAAACAGGTCCTGGCTTTTCTTAAACTCTATCTCAATACTGCCTGCCGAGAAAATGTTCTGGCCCTTTGCGTTAAACAGTGGACTAGATTGTGTTTCTTTTGGATGAGTACAAAACTGCTCACATTTGTTTAGTGTCCTGACCGGGTTTTCTCTTGAGTAACGCTCCTTTGGACGCTACTGTCACATCTTCTACTTATGAAGACCTACACGTAAGGAGGCGCGCCTGTAATTTCCACCTCAAAGGTGAGCTTACTAGAAAGATGTGCTTGGTTGACAGCACTTAGGAGTGCATCTACACCTTAGTGTTTTAACTTATCGATCTAGTCGCTTGTTTGAAAATTTTCCAGCTTGCCCATGAAGACATAAGTCAATTGAGGCCCAAGAGGCGAGGCCATAGCGACGCCATCTATTTGTCTAAACATTTCACAATTGCTTCTCTCGTGAAATCTCATGAGGAAGACAAGAAAATTCCTGCTGTGCAAAATTGGACCACTCATAAGTCGTACAGAAGTAAGTCAACGAACATTCTTATAAGGAAGGCATAGGCTGGTTGATAAAGTACTATTTAATGGTGTAACTTACCATACTAACAGTGTAGGTACTAGCTAAGAGTCCCAGAAACGTGTATCACTAGTATTCTGCCGCAGCTTAACACAGCTGCGAGGAGTCCGGCTCATCAGTAGGTCCCCTAGCTTTCCCTGTCTGTTTGCTGGTTCATTTGTCTGTTCTGAAAGTTCGGCTTTTTAATTTCCTTAGAAAGTAATTTATGTATGCGGTAAACATCAGGATATTTAAGGTCTATAGGCGTAGACCGAAATTGTAAGTGTATATTTGGGCTGAAACCCGTCAACCACTGCGAAATACGCACTTGCTGCCAACGAGCAGACTGTGGTAGTATATGTTGATATTGCAGCTTATCTTCATAAAGTCTAGGTACTAGCTGAAAGGCCCAGACACGTGTTTCGCCGGTATTCTGCAGCCGCTTGACACAGTGGATCCCCCACTGATGAGCCGGACCCATCGCAACTATGCCAAGCAGCGGCAGAATACCGGCGAACCACGTGCTTGGGCCTTTTAGCTGGTATCTAGGCTGTTATTATGGTAAGCTGCAACATCAACATATTTTGTATAAACTGGAAGGCAGGCATCCCAATATACCACTACAGTCTGTCCGTTGACAGCAAGCGCGTATTTCACAGTGGTTGACGGGTTTCAGCCCAAATATACACTAAGTGCAAACATACAATTAATAAATTTTCACTAAAAACGCGAATTAGAGGAAAAAGCTATATCATTAATCACTGTTCTGAAGTTATGTATACCTAGTACCTACAGAAAAATTAATTCAAAATTTGACAGGAAACAGCAACTTTTGTTTCTCGAGATGACCTTCTTATTGTTAATATGGCTTAAAAATCTATCTTCCCAATAACCCATACTAGCAGTCTTTTAAGCTTTGAAGGCTAATCGCATATTTCAAAGATACCTCAAATAAATAACTTTCGGATAGTCGAAAAAGTGCCTAAGAGACACTTTCGCTGGCCTCCAAACCAAAGGCTCATGCTGGACAAAGGCGTTGCGGATTTAAAATGAGGCTGATCTTCGCGAAGAATGTACAGGAATTCTAAGGTATGCGATCAAACAGAAAATATGAGTCAGTGTTTGTTGCCGAATAAATAGGCATCTGCGACTTAAGAGCCGGAGCATTCACCAATTTGATAGTACACCCCGGTTGGCGTCGATACCTTATCCACTTTTCTTGAAGATATTTATAAATTAACGCCGATATAGAAAAA